GAAAAATATATCTGCCCCAACAAGTTAAGGGGATTCTTCTCTCGCGACCAAAACCAGTCTGTGTTTGACCAGGCACACAAGTAGGATTGCCAAAGAAAACAAAGGCCACCCAGTTGAATGTGAATTTCAGATAAACAACAAATAATTTTTTAGTATAAGTATGTCCCATGCAATATTTGGAGCATATTTATTGCTAAAAAATTATTTGTTGCTTACCTGAAATTCAGATTTAACTGAATGGCCTGTATTTTTATTTGCTAAATCTGGCAACCCTGCACTTACTAAGGCCCTCTGGAACCTGGTCTGGACTCCCCACCTAATGGTGCCTGTGCCAGCAGCATGCCCCCCCCCACCACCAGCAGCCATCTAGTCAATTCCAATTCAACCTCCACCCCCATGCGGTTCCTCAGCCTGCCCTGTGCCTGTGCTCCTCCAGGCCTCTGCACTCCTCCCTTGCTGCCTAGCACGACCTTCCATTCAGCCTTCAAAACCAAGCCAACCCGGCTGCCTTGAGTCAATTCTGACTCATGGTGACCCAAGTGTGTCAGAACCGAACTGCGCTCCATAGGGTTTTCAATGGCTGGGACCTTTTGCAGTAGATAGACAGCCCTTTCTTCCAAAGCACCTGTGGGTGGACTTGAACCACCAACTTTTAGGTTAGTAGCTGAGACTGAACTGTTTACACCATCCAGGGACTCCACTCACTCAACCTTCAAGGCCAGCTTAAAGTCAACCCCTCTGCGAAGCCTTCCCTGGTTACCCACCGCCTCTGAGCTCCCCCAACGCTCCACGCAGAGCATGCAGAGCCCCATGTTGGTACTTGACGCTCTGGGGAAACCTCGCATCTGACTGGGTTGAGCACTCCCTGAGGGCCAACCACATCTTTCTTACTTGTGCTAAAGCCCCAGTGCCAGCCTGGAACCTGGCACTGAGTTCGGAGCAATGACAGTAACAGCTACTATCTGTTGAGCCCTTACCATGTACTGGAACCCTGGTGGACCAGTGATTCAGAGCTTGGCTACCAATCAAAAGGCTGGCAGTCCGAATCTACAAGATGCTCCTTAGAAACCCTTTGGGGCAGTTCTACTCTGTCCTATAGGGTCACTATGAGTCAGAATGGACTCAAAGGGAACGGGTTTGGTTTTTTTGTTTAGGTACTGGGCTAAATGTTGTATATGCAATGTCTCATTTTATCCCACAACAACCTATTTTACAGGTGAGGAAACTGAGGCTTGGAGAGTTAAGCACCTCACCTAGGGTCACACATTCAGTGGCAGGACAGGGATGTGAAGCCAGGGGGCCTGACTCCAGAGTCTATTCTCTTAGCCGAGATGCTGTCCTACCAAATGAATGGAGAAATTTAGTGATGGACCAAATATTTTAGCCCTGAGGAGCAATTCCAGCAGAACTTTAAGAGGCTGCTCAAGAAGCTAATATGTTTGGGGCTCCCCCACCCCCTAAATAATATAACTAAGGCCACTATTAGCTGCCTAAGCCCTGTCCAAGGCCAGGAAAAAGCTGCACGGATGTGTATTATGGAGGCGGCGGCAGGTCACAGAAAACTCTTGAAAATAAGTACACCCTGGAGTACAAATGAAGATGACAGCCAGCAGATGGTACATGTGCAGGGGTAGGACA